CCGCAGGAAGGTTTTTGAAGGTTTTTTGGAAAAACCTTCCTGGAACCCTCCAAACCTTCCCCAGGAAGGTTTTTGAAAGGTTTTTGGGGAAACCTTTCGGCGGCGGCGGTGGCGGCGGCTGCGGCGGGGGCGGCGGCGGCGGGGGCGGCGGCTGCGGCGGCGGCGGCGGCGGCGGTGGCGGTGGCGGCAGCGGCTGCGGCGACAGCGACTGCGGCTGCGGCGATTTGGCAGCGGGGGCGGCGGCGGCGGCGGCGGCGGCGGCGGCGACAGCGGCGGCGGGCGGCGCGGCGGCGGCGGCGGCGGAAGCGGCGGTGGCGGCGGATTGGCCCCAGTAGCTGCCCATCAAGAGACGACTGCTGAATATGCTGAAGTTCGGGCCAGACTCGGGTGTTTCGTTTGTGTTGGGAGGGCGGGTGGGAGTGAGCGAGACGGCTTGCAGGCGGGGAGGGAATCTTGACCCCCCCCTGGACCTGGACGGGGGGTTCCCCGACGCGTTGGAACGTCCAAAAAAGGCCTCGACGAGGAAGCCAAAATCATAGGTTTTACGATGGTGTTGGCCTCATTTTGGCCTTAGGACCCCCCCCTACTGTGATGGCCCCCTCCTGTGATCGATCTCCTCCAAGATGGTCCCAAGAGTCGCCCAGGAGGCCCCAGGAGGCCCCAAGATGGCCCCAAGATGGCCCCAAGAAGCCCCCAAGAGGCCCCCTGGATGCCCCCAAGAGGCTCCCGAGAGACCCCCACGAGGCCCCAAGAGACCCCCAGAGGCACCCAAGACGCTCCAAGAGGCCTCGGCGAGAATTCCAAAATCAGTGACTTTGCTAAGGTTTTGGCCAGATGACCTCCAAGATGGTTCCAGATATCCCAAGATGCCTCAAGATGGCTCTCACGATGCTCCAAAAGGCCCCAAGACCGTTTCAGGACGGCACCAAGTGGCCAAAGAGCTCCCCCAGGAGGCCCCGAAGAGGCCAAAATCCTTCCAAAACCTAATGAAAATCCATATGTTGGGTTTTCTCGCCTTTTCGCTTCCGATGGCCATCCGAGGCTTCAAGATGATTCCAAGATGGCCCAAGAGGGCTCCAAGAGCGCTCCCTAGGCTCCCTAGAGCGCTTCAAGAGGGCCCCAAGAGGCGCCCAGGAGGCCCCAGGAGGCCCCAACAGGCGCCCCAGAGGCCTCCAAGAGGCCCCCAGAGACCCCCAAGAGGCCCCAAGAAGCTCTCCGAGGCACCCAAGACGCTCTAAGAGGCGCCCGGGACCGCCAGGAGGCACCTTTATCGAGGCACTTCTTCTGGGCATCGTTTCTGGATGGGCTGGTGGGGTTACGCGAAGCGTCTAGAATTCGAATGAGCTGGCGGCGAGCCCGGGGGGGGAGCGAGAAGGGGCGGGCCGTCTCAGAAGGCTCGGAAGTTCCCCTGCCTTCTGAAAACTTGTCTAAGCCTTCTCCGACTTCGCAACACAATTCTCAGAAGGCCGTAGGGTTTCTGAGAAGTTCCGCCGCCTTCTGAGAGGGCCTTCGCCTTGTCACTTCCCCGTCTCGCTCGCTGCCGAAGGAAGACTGCACCCAAGTGAACCCCAGCGGGGGCGTCCGATAGCCCAGCGTCGAGTGGTCCCGCAAAGAGCAAGCGCCCCCAAACAGAATCGAATCGATAAGTCGGATCGGCGATCGAAGTGAATCGCATGTGCGGACATCGGCAACCGAGTCGGGAAGAGGCGGTTCGACAAGGGGGTGGGCCCCCCCCCAACACTCGGCACCGTCGATCAAAACCAGGGGGGCTCCCCTCCTCCCCAACCCCCCCCCCCTTCCGGACTCCCCCCCCCCCTCGGCGCCGGCGGCCACCAGCAGCGCCGACGGCGGGGACGCAGCGACGACGACTACTACCACCACCACTACCACCACCACCACCGCCTCAACCCACCACCGCCACCACCAACCCACCACACAACCACCACCACCATCACCACAGCCACCACAACCACCACCACAACCACCACCACCACAACTCACCATCACCACCACTACAACCACCACCACCACCATGACCACCACCATCACCGCCACCACCACCACCACCACAGCCACCACCACCACAACCACAACCACCACCACAACTCACCATGATGTCCACCACCACCACAAAAACCCATCACCACTACCACCACCACCACCACAATCTACCACGCCACCACCACCACCACCGCCACGACAACCACCAATACCAGCAGCACAACCCACCACCACCACCACCACCACAAACCACCACACCACCGCCACCACCACCACCACCACCACCACCGCAACCACAACCACCATCAACACCACCTCCACAAACCACCGCCACCACCACAACCCACCACCACCACCACAAACCACCACCACACCACCACCAAACCACCACGACCACCACCACAATCCACCACCACCACCACAACCACAAACCACCACCACACCACCACCACACCACCACCACCACCACCACCACCACCACCCACCACTACAACCAACACCACCACAACAAACCACCACACCACCACCACCACAACCACCACCACCGCCACCACCACCACTGCAACCCACCACCACCACCACCACCACCGCCGTCCTCGTTGACGTTCCCCGCCGCCGCCGCCCGCCGCCGCAGACGCCAGCGCCGGCCCAGAAAAGGAAATCATCGTCCCCGCCGCCGCCGCCAGCCGCCGCCAACGCAGGCGCTGGCCCGAGGAGACGGAGAGAGGAGAAGTAGGGGCCTTAGCGCCGCGCACATTCATGTTAAAAAGATTACGAGAGCTTCACGGATTGAGGGCGGGTGGTTTTCAAAATGTGGCTCCCACCTTAGCGCCCCGCACATTCGTTAAAAACATGTGCAAGAGTTTCAAGGATCCGGGGCGGTTCCTTTTCAAAATCAGGTTCTCGCTTTAGCGCCGCGCACATGTTTTCTAAAAACTTGTAACAATTCCACGCGTTCCCATGATCAACGTACCATGATTATGCGGGTGCAGCATTTATGCTGACTCGCGCTGCTGAAGTCCAGAAAATGGCGTTCTGGCACGATTCCAGATCGTCAGGACGCAGCAGTCAGGTTGATCCGTGGCGTGGAAATCCCGAGAACAATGTTTCGGCATGCTTCACAAACGGTTGTCTTCCAACGAGGCAGTTCCCTCAACGGATATTAACCGTTGTAGGGGCCTATGAAGAGGGAGCTTGGAGGGAGGGTTAATTCAAACATCGTTGATGACTCTTGGGTTTACACTGGTCCTCCTCCTCCTCCTCCTCCTACTCCTCCTCCTCCTCCTCACGCCGGGGGTCTGAGAGTCGACGGGGTCCGTCAATGGCGCACCGGTGCTCCGCTTTGGCGACTCGCCTCGCACACCTGCGGCACGGTGTTCCCGCCTGGGTGCTGTAAGGTCAACCCGCGCGCACGCAGTGGACACGGAGGTGCAAAGCGCGCTGGCAGCTGACATTGCGTGCTTCGTGCACCTGGGGGGGATCCACCAGCAAGTCGTGGCCTTCCGCAGCGGCGTTGTTACACATGCCCGGGGCGAGTGCAGCCTTCCGCCCCGAACGGGCTCTGTTCGACGCCGCGGCAGGAAGCCTAGCGGCGGTAGACAGGAGGCGTTGCAGCTTAAACTGCATGGTCCAGCTGTCTGGCCCCCATCCTCGACCAAGGGCTTAGACGACAAGACTGGTAAGAGGTTTCAACTTTAATGTTCTTCACACTACGCTTTCGACTAAATCGTACTTACGAAAACCAACCACCTTGAAACCCGGCGAAATCCGCCAATAGTGCTCCTGATCCGTCCTCGCCCTCCCATCATCATCATCATCATCATCATCATCATCATCATCATCATCATCATCATCATCATCATCATCATCATCATCATCATCATCATCATCATCATCATCAGCAGCAGCAGCAGCAGCAGCAGCAGCATCCTCCTCCTCCTCCTCATCATCATCAGCAGCAGCATAATCAGCATCAGCATCATCATCAGCATCATCATCACTCAGCACCAGCATCATCAGCAGCAGCATCAGCCCCAGCATCATCATCAGCAGCAGCATCATCAGCAGCAGCAACACCAGCATCAACATCATCAGCAGCAGCATCAGCATCAGCAGCCCCACCAGCATCAGCATCATCATAATCAGAATCATCAGCATCATCATCACCACCATCAGCATCATCATCATCATCATCGTCGTCGTCGTCATCACCATCACCATCATCACCATCATCATCATCATCATCATCATCATCATCAGCATCATCATCATCATCATCATCATCATCATCATCATCATCGGCATCATGGGCATCATCATCATCAGTAGCATCAGCATCATCGTGGTCAGCATCATCATCGTCAGCATCCTCATCATTATCAGCATCATCAGCAGCATCAGCATCAGCATCAACATTATCATCAGCAGCATCAACATCAGCATCGTAATTTGCATGATCCGCACCTTCATCATCACCATGATCAGCATCATCAACAGCATCTGCAGCAGCATGATCATCATCAGCATCAGCATCAGCATCAGCATCGGAATCATCCTAATCATCATCCTCATCCTCATCCTCATCCTCATCATCGTCCTAATCCTAATCATCCTCCTCATCCTCGTCCTCATCGTGACATCAGCATCACCATCATCATCATCATCAGCAGCATCATCATCATCATAATCAACATCATCACCATCGTCATCGTCATCGACAGCATCATATTCATCATCAACCACAGCAGCGTCAGCATGATCGTCATCATCATCGTTATCATCATCAGCAGCAGCAGCCTCATCGGCATCCGCATCATCAGCATCACCATCATCATCCACATCCTCCTCCTCCTCCTCCTCCTCCTCCTCTTCGCCCTTCCTTCACCTCCTCCTCCTCTTCCTCCTCATCCTCCTCCTTTTCCTCCTCTTCCTCCTCCTCCTCCACCTCCTCCTCCTCCTCCTCCTCCTCCTCTTCGCCCTTCCTCATCCACCCTTCTCGCCTCCATGATGGCGTCGAACACGTAAGAGGTGATCGAGGCCTCGGGCTTGCTGGCCGTGTGCGCGTCCGCCTCGGGCGGCCCGATGCCGACGGTCGGCTCGCGGTCCCCCGCCTGCCCACGGGGGGAGGACGAGGAGCAGGAGAGGGAGGAGGAAGGAGCAAGGGGGGCGAGGGAGGAGCAGGAGGGCGAGGGGGGCGGGAGGGAGAGAAGAGGTGGCTGGAGAAGGACCGAGGGGGGGGGGGTCGTCGTTTCCTCGCGTTGGAGTCGTCGTTGCTCACGCCTCGGCCTCGTCTTCCTCGTCTTCTCCCTCGTTCCCTCGTCGTCCTCCGCTCACGGCAACGGGAGAGCAACAAACGGCTTCGGCGCCGTCTGGGGGCGGAACAACAACTCCTCCTCCTCCTCCTCCTCCTCCTCCTCCTCCTCTTCCTCCTGCTCCTCCTCATCCTCCTCCTCATCCTCAGAGACCAAGAGGGCCCCAAGAAAGACCAAAACACGGTCCCCTCTTATACCTGAGGTCCTGGCAATACTTTGCTGGGGGGGCGCCAAATTACATCAGCCTTTACAACGACAGAACCTGCGCGGAAGTGATGGAGTCAAACCCAGAAGTGGTAAGCGGAGATAGGAGAGTAGTGCTCAGTGCTCACCGTGAGTAACTGCAGCAGGGTAGGACGAGACAGGAAACGATACCAAAGCACCAAGTCGAAGGACCGAATACATTCGGACTGCAGTGAGGGATGGAAACCCAACATAGCCAGCGGGTCGAAGAGAAAAATACTCGTGACGAGTTACGGCAGGTTGGTGTCGTGTCGACCCCAGTTTTGGCTCCTGACCCCGCGGGGATCGTTCAACCTGGAACGGTCGGCAGCTTCCGAAACGTCCGATCGTGCAACATCGACCGATTCTGGGTCGCCGGTCGCCGGCGGCGTTGTTGAACGCTGGCAGCGGGGTCGCCGCCCGTCGACACGACGCGAACCTACCCTACTCCAGATTTCGTAATAAAAGGGAGGGGGTCTGGACCCTCCAAGACAAGCCATTTCAGACCTCCCCCGTGGGAGAACCCTCCAAAACATCGTCCCCAGACCCCCCCAGGCCCTCCAAGATAGCCTGGAAGAGGCCCCCCCCCGAAATGAGACCCCCCTCCCTTTTATTACGAGATCTGGAGTACCCTATCCTGGGGGTGGCGGGAGCGGGGAAGAGAGCGCCGAGGCGAGAGCCCCCGTCAGGGCGGGCGCCGAAGGTGCTGCGACTGGAGCAGGGGGGGGGCAGAGCAGAGGAGCAAGGGGCAAGGAGCAGAGATTTGGACGCCCGAAATGGGTACCAAAAGAATGGGTACCATGCCCAACAGCAAATGTTGTCCCAAACCAACAGCGGCCGCTGTTGGGCAGGCGGCCTCCTGTCTCGAATGGACACAAGCCGCCGCGGCGTGGACAGCGAGCCCTTTTCAAAATGAACAAGATCCGCTGTTGGGCATTGTACCCATTCTTTCAGTACCTATTTCGTGCGTGCAGAAGAGAGCAGAGAGGGGGTGGACGACGACGACGCCGACGACGACGAAGGCGCTGAGGATGAGAGAAAGTAAAAAATGTAGGGCACAGGAAGGAAGGGCAAAAAAGGACCAAAGCAACCCCCGGATGCATCACCGATGCTGCAAATAACCCTGCCGTCCCAAGCCCCCGCCCAGTCAATCACCCGCCATCAATCCGATTGCTGACTGTTCCAAGCCTGATCATAAGAGATGAGACAACCTCAGGCAAAAGGACGGGCCCGCCCAAAATGGCACACGTGGCCGTGTGACAAAAGGGATGAAGGAGAGGCAACGACGAGGAGAGATAAAGGAAAGATGGCCCGCATATCAAGAAACTAGAAAATTATGTGAGAGAGAGAGAGAGAGAGAGATGAGGAGGCCGAGGACGAGGCGGCGGCGCAAGAAGGCGACCAGGACCGCGCCTTGGGCTCGGGGGGCTGCTTCGTGTTGATAGACACGCTGAACATTCCCGACGGCATCCCGAGTCGCGCCGCGGGGGGAAACCCGCTGGGCGGCCCTAGCGGCCGTCCACCTGTAACTGTTGATGTTTTCCTCCTCCTCCTCCTCCTCCTCCTCCTCCTCCTCCTCCTCCTCCTCCTCCTCCTCCTCCTCCTCCTCCTCCTCCTATTAGGCGTGGGCTTGAGCTGGGGGAGGCCTTTCCCCCCAGCGCGTTTTGACGCCCGCGCCCAGCTCCCCTGCCCGCGGCCTCGGGCGGGAGCGATCTTCTGAATCGTCAGAACCAGAGGCCCCTCGGCATTGGCTGGTGTCTGACGCTACCGAATTATCTACACCTTCGAGGGCCTGTGCTCCACGGAGGATTGCGGCACGGCGCCAAAGAGGGCCTCATCCCCGTCCTGGCATCGACGGCTTCGGCGCAAGCGAAGCTGGGCACGTGGGGTTGTGAGACTCGACACGGCGCGGAGGCTGCTCTCGTTACATCACGGGTCTGCTCAGTCCATGGGGAAGCTGCCCAAAGCTGCAGATCGTGACAATGCGAAGGAACCACGTTGGAGTTGTAAGGCTACGCGGCAGTGCGGTTTCACTCGCAATTTTGCATATAATAAGAGGTGCTACATGTGTGGACGGGACCAGAATGGGCTGCCCGACCCGAACGGGCCGCCAGGACGAGGTTCACGAGAACGAGCACCTTCCACACCGAGGCGACGCAAGGTTGCCGAAGGCGACGCCAAGGACTCAGATGAAGTTGGGCAGGCACGTAAGGCATTGGCCTCCTTACGGCGCTGTGGCCTACCTGATGAACATGATCTGGTTGTGCGCGCTCGTGTTGCCCTCACTACGGCAGAGGCTGCTGAGCGAGCACGGCGCACGCCAGATGATATGTTGCGCAGCGCCTTGGATCGTCAAAGCGCTAAGGGACGTGAAGTTGAGCAGCTCAAAGAAAGCATGGACACACTCAAGGTGCAGTATGACGCCAAGGTCGAAGAGCACCGTGTTGCCAGCGAGGAGCTCGACAGCATCAAGTTGGAGGTGGCCACGGCGCGTGCAGCAGTCATGGGTACAGCTCGGCCAGCTCCAGACGGGACGACAGTATTGGACGCCATGGGTAGGTTGCAGCAGGTGGTCTTGGGGGCCCCTTCGGCGCTGGCAGCAGGAAACCCTCGGGCGGCTTTGGAGTCTCTCGTCACGCACTTCAACCAGTTGCAGCGGGCATGGCAGCAGATGCAGTCGCAGCAAGCATCACCTCCTCCGCAGCCGCAGGTACCCGCACATGTTCCTGGCCCAGATCAAGTTGGCACTCATGCTGGTGGTATGCAGTGGGAAGACCCTTCCATCGGAGCAGCCCCAGCTACACCAGGGACGTGACTCACTATCATACATCGCTATGTCGAGACAGTTTCAGGGTCGAGTCCGCTCCTTGGGTGATTTGAACCTAGTGGAACTCACGGCAGTTACTCGTGGCGCTGCAGGACGGGATGATCATACATCTTCGAGAGTGGCTGATGCATCCTCCTCTTCCTTACACATTTCTTCGGTCCATGGTGATGTGGGCGGCGAGAGGCTACCGCGTGCATCGAGGGCTTCAGCGGCAACAAACCCTGTGCGCCCTAGGGTCCAGCATGTTCAGTCGTCGCAAGTTTTGCGGGCGAAGGCAGAACATAGTCCTGTGCGCTCACCGCAGCGGCAGGTTAAGTCGTCGCTTGAATTGCAGGACGCGGACAGTGGCAGACGAGGGCGGCGGGCATGTAAGCATGGCAAGCGTAAGCCCTTCACCGTGGCCGCGTTCAATGGGAGTGGATGGCCTCAACTGCAGGATTATCTTGATCAATGTCGTTCACACTCTCTGGTGTTCGCTCAGGAGCACCACTTGGCTGGGAACGCCAGAATGCAAGCTGAGGAATGGAGTATCAAACGAGGCTGGCGGCCATTTTGACGGATGCTCGATCAGTGGCGGGAGGTAAGTTCTCGGCTGGTGTGGGTATCTTTGTTCGGTCGCACGTCGGTGCTACGCTCCTCGACGCCTTCCTGGACGATCACGTTCTTATTCCATCGCGAGCGGTGGCCATATGGGTGCACGCAGGACCACGGCATGGATTCATTGCTGCATCTATATATCTTGTTCAAGGTCAGAAGTTCGGTGGTGACAACGCTCGGCATTTAAAAAGATTGGGGCAGTGCCTGAGGTATTATGCTGCGCCCTACATCGTCGGCGGTGACTGGAACATGCCTCTTAGTCAAGCATCAGATGCGCGATATCATGAACGTCTTGTTGGCAGCTTCGTCGGCAGCGCAGAGGGCACGCATCGTGACCCCAAGACGGGCAACTTGACCAACTTAGATTACTTCCTCGTCTCTGAGGGCTTGGCTGCTGTCATGGCCAAGGTCCGTATCACTGGAGGTTTCCCTGCCCGCAATCATTTTCCTTTGCAGGCTGAGGTTGGCCCTCGGCCACGCGCGCAGCAGGTTTACTCCATCGAGGGGCCAGCCTTTTTGCCATTGGGGCCCCAGGCGAAACCTGTCGAGCACCAAGATGAGGATGAGGACGGCGAACTCATCTTCGAGGTGGAACGTGGGGACCCTGGGCACTCCTGGACGGACCTCGTGAGACAGGATGCTCAAGATGGTTTCGGGGGGCCCTCAAATCATCAGGAACGAGTCGATTTGCTCTGCCAACAGGTCTTCAACGGAGTTGAGAAAGAATTGCTGCCGTTCTTTCAAGTTGAAGACCCGAGTCGTTTTGTTAGGAGGTCTAGTGGCCTCGGGTATCGGTATGTCACGGCAGGAGGCGCGCCTGCTCGTTACCAACCTGCAGGCGCAGCATATTCACGTGCACTTCGATTGTTACATCTGAAAGTATCGGACGTACTTATAGCACAACGTGATATATTCGAACGTCGTGTTCCAGCGTGGCAACACTTGTATGATTTCGTGCGTGGTCGTGGTCGTGATGGGCGTATACGTCGGCACATACCACATCATGTACTAGCTGACATTGTATTCATTATCGAGCAAGCATGTGCGCAGCCTGTGGAGCATCACGGGCCCATGCTCGACTTTGTCTGCAGCTTCCTTGCTCGCTTGGCCGAAGCTGAAGAGCGCCGGCTTGCCCAAGCGCGCTCCAAGTCGTTTGTGAGCTGGATGAGGCGTCATCTCACGAGTACCCCTGGGCCCGTTCACAAGTGGACCAAACCAAAAGGCTGGCAGGTTGCGCAGGTCAGGACCTCCAAGGGCCTCTCGAGTTTCCCTGGGGACATTGCTGAAGCTCAACGGGATTCCTGGGAAACCATATGGGACGTGGGCCCTGAGCCAGTTGAATATGCAGGCGCAAGTATGTTTCAAGAAGAACCTGGAGATTTTCTTGGGGAGCTCACAGGTTTACTGGAAGCGGGCCCACGCGTTCCCCCTCTTATTATAGCAGAATTGCGACAGGCAGCTGTGCGATTTCCGCGACGCACGGCAGTTGGACCAGATTTGTGGAGGCCCAGACACTGGGCTCTGGCGTCGAATGGCGCCCTTTCCGCGCTTGGATACATGCTGTTCCTTTGCGAGACCTGGGGCTTGTGGCCACAGCTGTTATCGAGGGTGCACATCGTTTTATTGCCCAGACCTTCAGGAGGGTATCGCCCCATTGCCCTGCTCACCTCCATATATCGGGCATGGGCAAAAGCACGGGTGGATTTTGTGAGAAAGTGGGCCAGCCAATTAAATCGACCCTGGATAGCCCTTGGAGCTCAGAAGTCGACTACAGATGTGGCCGCTCGTATCCTGGTTCAGAGTGGGGCTGGAGGCTCGCTCGCTGGGGACACCCGAGCCAGCGTTCACAGCATTGTGGACATCGAGAAATGCTTTGACAGAATTTCCTGGGCACTCCTGATAGCTGCGGGACGAGCACATGGTTTTCCTGGACAACTCATGGTTTTGGCCATCAGGATGTACATGAGTGTTAGGAGGCTTTCCTGGGATGGCTGTTTTCGACGCAGGCTCATGCAAGAAAGGGCGTGCTGCCAGGATGTGCCTTCGCCATGTTTTGCTTGCAGTGCGTCATGCTCACGCCGTTCGACTCGTTGTATGCACACACACATCGCACATGTCGCGCTCGTTGCATGTGTACGCTGACGACATCACGGTATCCATTATATGTTCATTGCGCAGTATAGTTACATCGGCTAGCAGAGTCTTACGAATACTGGCTCGCTTGCTCACGCAGTTGGGCTTACCACCAGCCAGGAACAATCTGAGTATTTCGTCTAGTATACCTGGAGTGGCTCGGCGGGTGGCGGCACGGCAGCACAAATTTGGTTATGCCTATCGGAGTGCCTTGGAGGTTATTGGGATTGAGGTGGCCTCAGGGAGGCCCCTTCGGTACCGCCGACTTCGTGAACGCGTCTCGGTCGCTTCGAAACGAGTTCCACGGCTCTCGCAAGTTCGGAAAGCGGGACCCATCGTCTGCAAGTTTATCCGACAGGCATTACCCAGTGCTATGGAATATGGATTAGGAGTACATGGAGCGCCGCCGCAGTTGGTGGCCAAGATGCGCTCTGTGCTTCGCTCGTGCTGGTATTCACCTGGGTCGACCACTTCGGCCTGGTTGACGAGTTGCCTTCAAGGCACCGTGCTGTCCGACCCACAGGTCCACGCGTGGACGGCCCCTCTTGTACAGTGGGCTGTGCTTTGTCGGGACGTCGTGGTGACTCACGAGGAGCTCCAGAGGGCCTGGAAGGCGCAGATCCAGAGGGTTTACTTGGCCACGCATCCCTGGAAACATGTCTCGGGTCCTGCTGGGGCTATGCTTTTATCCTTAAAGGCCTTGAAATGGACCTCCAGTTCTGCTTTTGTCTGGAAGACCGACATCGGGGACATCCTGGACCTCAGGACTTCTGCGCCGCCCACGGTTCGTGACTTAGGTCGGGCTGCTTCGCCCAGGAGGCTTTGGGAGTCCTGGGCAGCTCGAGGGAACCCCGCTGACGACGTTGGCATGGCCCCCAAGCAGCCCCTCGGGTACTGGATCGAACCCACCGTTGACCTGTTGAGAAGGTACAAGGGGGATGAATGTGACGACTCATCCGAGGGTGAAGGTGCGGACTCCGACGA